GCAGACTAGGAAGTTACAACAAATTGCATTTTCTTTTTTAATCGGATGGGGACAAAGATGGAGGCTGACGACAGAGAAGAGGAGACAACCTGTTAAGAATTGTGAGCGAATATATATATATATAACTCTCTCTCTCTCTCTCTGCGCGTGTACATTTGTGCTGTCCGAATACTGATTGGTAATGAGCAGGGTGCAAAAAATACATCAAAATACGGTTTTTAACCCATGTTGAGGGCACCAGCACCCTGGCCGAAACCGAATCCTTTGGGTCCGAAGTTCTTTCCGTAACATGCTGGAATGAGGGAGACAAAAGAAAGAGAGGCGGGAGAATTCAGTTACATTTTGTGAGATGATGACACTCAAGGTAATATGATCCGACAAAAGGGCATGTAAAGAGAGAGAGACTTTTGCATAGTACATCTTTTCCAACTAACGGATTCAATCTCGTTAATTAAAATCATGTACACTAGTCCTCAAGTGAAATGCTTGCAACCAGTTTGTAGAGATGGGCTGAGAGTGTTAAACTGTCTGCAGATAAAGTGGAATAGTCTGATCAGCAGCTCACTGATCTAATGGGTAGTAGGCGTGCGTGCGTGTTTTCTACTCGTGCACTCAAGAATTCCCATCCCCCCGGTTGTCTTCGATGAGACATAGACAAGGTCGAAATAGTTGTATAGTAGTGCTTCCTGGCTTTTCAATGCATGGTCTCTTGTAACGCTTGGCACGTTGAGCAGATCGCCGCCATTTTGGATTGAGGGTGAGTCGTGTGCATGTTTCTGGCTGGACCTTTTGGTTCATGGTTGTTTGGAAATCCCCCTTCCACGGAGAACCTGTCGTCCGAAGTGTCTCCTACCCGTGCAGTGAGAGTGTCTGTACTGGTCCTCATTTACCAATTGGTTCAACACCCCAAACAGGGTGTTTTTAGAGGCATTCTGACAGAGCTATTGGGACCAGAAACTCGGATCGTGTTACCCAAAATCAACCGACCACCGTGTATTACGAATCGGTGGCGGGCGTGGGCTTAGTCCTGTATGTTAAATTCTTTGCTTCGTATGCGATCATTCGTGCAACGGAATTGAACCTCCGTATTATTCGGTCTATGAATACTCTCTTTCTTCATTTCCTTTTGGCCTCTACATATTAGCATATTTTTGTATATGTCTCTGTCATAACAAATTGAGTTTTTCAATGTATTGTACAATAAAAACACTGTTATGTGAAATCCTGCATATCACGGAGTGCATCAAATTTTTCATCCCGATTACAACTTGATTTAGATAGGACCGACCGTCGAATGGTAACAATAGGATTCGTGCTACACGTCCGACGCGCCTCTGTGTGCGATTAAACAAAGTAGATGAGAAAGTAGGTGGTCGATATGTCAGGACAGTTTCTACATCGCTCACTCAACCAAGTGATTGGAATGAATCAAATCGCCCCAGGGTTGTGCAAAACAGAACCGAGGTTCCACTCGGTTTTGACTCGCGAAAACAGATACGCAGCGAATCAAGCGTTCCAGCGCCTCATACTCACCTTTGCAATAGATCTCCCTTTCTTCCTTCTGTGTGCACAAAGTGGTCGAATCCAGTGATTTGCCACAGGTTTTGCAACGGAAGCAAGCTTTGTGGAAGTTCAGCTGTGTAGGGAAGAGACAAGTTGAGTTAAATCTATTAGAAAGGTGGGTGGAAGCACTGCACACAGACAAACAGATAGACAGACAGAGATTCACCATAACTAGAGAGTACAAAATGCAGTTGTTGCATTCAGTGATCGTAAACCCAGCCACCAACTTCATGATAACGCTATCTGGGATTCGAAACTGCACTTATTTCTAACATTAACAGACGGCTTTTTATTATTAACACTGGTTGTAATCCATTACATGAGTTTCAAAACTTTAAAATCATACTCCTTTCGTGATTTGTTTTGGTCAAATAGCTTTATTTCCCTCGACCGTCATTCTCATTGTGTTTTGGTCAGCATCCGTTCTCATTCCCCTATTGTGATATATGCGAAAAGAAAATCACTGATATCTTACTCCGCTTGGGCAACCAATAGCTTTTTCGGCGTCATAGACCCGCTTTCCGCAACGTGGGCAACCGCCTTGTTCAGGTGGAATCACAGCACCGCCAGTTCCAGCCGTGGTTGGCTTGTTGCTGAAATGGAAGTCAGTAGAGGAGTGGTGGAGAATTGGGTGATTGTGTTTCATATAAGAACGTAAATAAAATAGATTACTCAGTACAGGTAATTAGCGAAGTTAGCTAGCTTCATATATTGTCCCACAGTTCCAGGGGATTATCCAGAATCCAAGTTTCGAACATTTTCACAACCTGACTGTAGTAGTAGTAGACTGCTCCACATATCGCTCTACTCGATACGATTAGAGTTTTGGTGGCGTTTACAAGTTCAAATCCTATCCTACGATTGAACATCATCACTAATCCCAAACAGAGAGTGAACGACTGAAAGTATATTAAATATTATTGCAGCAATCAATGACTAGGACAAATCGCAGTATTAAATGAAAACAAACGTTTGTCGAAAATTCATGATAACTTAATGTTTGAAAATTATGCCTACATTCTCATTTAGTAGGGAGTAGATTGCAGCATGCAACATATATGACCGAATAGGGACAGACCCGAAAACTATGTGATTGCATGCCCGCGCGTTCGTCAAACAATCGAGTCACACACTGTCACCCACCTCATCTCAGTGCCGACATTGCCCAAGTGTGCACCGCTGTCCATGTTCAGGGCACCGGAACCGCCACCAAAACCGTATCCTTTAGGTCCGAATTTACGACCGTGGCATTGTTTGCAGAACACCTCGCCTTCATGCTCGGCCACTGTGGTACTGTCCAACATTTTGTTGCACAAACCTGTTTGCACAAGCGGGTGGGTGCGCGGGAGGGGATTGACAAATCTCAATCAGTGGAACTGTACGTAAATGATATACAGTAAACTGTTCNNNNCCTCCATCCCATCTCCATCTCCCAAAAAAAAAAACGGGAAAGACCAATGTTTACACTGAATATTCTGCATTAGTGCATTGTGCTAGAATCAGATACACAGCGCCAACAGAAACATCCAAACCAGTTTTTTTTCAAGTTTCTCTATTTCCCGAGAAATCTATCCTCGATTAATTGAGTTGTACTCAGTGCGGAATGGGAACATGGAGGCTAACCATCATTCTAAACACTTTTTCACTCGTGAGATATTACTAACTTTCAATTACTTACTAACTTTCCATTCGTATTACACATTATTGTACAGTTGGCACTGAAAAGGATGAATCCCATAAAGAACTACTATTCAATGAGGTGGGAGGGTCGTAACCCGGAGACCAAAAAACTGGTTCTGGAACTGGTGAACCAGATAGGGCCGCAGAAGGATATCGGCAGTATCAGTTCGTGAGATCAGGAGACTATCTTCTTATGAAAGCCAACCATGCTTCAAGTCAAGTCAAGTATTTGCTTATTGTACGATAACAACTTTTAGAATATTTTTGCTGATTACTGATTACCCGGTGACCATGTTCACCTGTTTTGGCTCAAACTTTACAATTGCTGGATATTATTTATCGTTGGTTATGTTCGGCATCACTGGACAGGAGAAACAAGATATGGTGAATTTCACTTTGTCACTCTCATCCAAATGGAATACAATTCACTTGGACATCAAGTTGCTTTCTCTGGATGTACACGCTGAATATTGAGTAGTCACTTAGTTTACGAGATCGATATCGGTCACACTGAAGCGATTAGATGTCACACGACTTAACGAACCAGGGTAACAATACCAAACTAGTTACATGTCTAGGAAGCTCGAAAATCCAGAATTTTGCAATTTCGTCAACTCTATGCATCTTTCTGCTGTTGGTCAACGACTTTTAGTAAATTAAGATTTAAGATGTCCTGTTACTAGTTGGCGGATGATGCATAATTTTCGTCATGTGAACTGATAAGTAAGTGTCAGATGACAAATGTGCGCACGTAAAACGTGTATGAACAACAGACAACGGATCGGAAAATGTCCCGTATACTCACCGCATTTTAAGCACATGCTATGCCATGCTTTTCCACCAGCAATCTTCTTCTCAGCGGCATACACAGCCTTCTGACATTTGGGGCAGATTTCCGACGGCATTGTTGTGGATCAGGACAAAACGGAACAGATGCTCTCGAAAACTGAACTGGACTAGCGACTGAGATGCACTATAATATCGGTTCGGGAAATGGTATTTAACGCCGCACCTCCGCCCCTCTCCCGCCCTCGGATCCCTGTCTTTATTTCCACTTTTAGTCCCAGGTGGCATGGTGCTGTTGCTGTGTGCCAGTGTGTTCACCTGGGATGTCTAGGCATTTGTCCCTGTGACTATCACTCGTTTCCACACGTCGGGGCAATTTGTGCTAGTGCCTGGGCATGTGTCTATTCCCCGATCTCTTTCTGACGCAAGGATTCGATCCCATGTGTTTGTTGTACATTGGTGCCGCGAAGTGCATCGACACATGTCTGATTACCCTTATTCATTCTGAACCAATACCATTACGCATCGATTTCGAAATAGTACACCTCAGGTACAGTGCCCACACACACCATGTATGTATGGCGTGTGTGCGTGTGTGCGTGTATGTGTCTGTGTGTATATGTTTGTGCTTGCATGCGTGTGTGTGTGTGTGTGGCTTTTTCAGTCGCGCACGTTTTCCCTCGATCCGTCGGGTCGTCAAATGACCGTGCCGAATGAAACCGGACAGTTTCCACCGTCGAACCCCCCATCGGGACAGCTTGTGTACCCTTTCAGTTCGATATACCCCGGATGGAAACAGTGACTTCAGTGAATAACGTTTTGGGATGACTGAGTTGGCGGTTCAATCTGCACTACCCCAGTAGTGTTTGGCTTGTTTAAGTGTGGGTTACAGTAGCCCAAAAATGATCTTTTTCTCGTTCATGTCAGCCGCACGGGGCGACGGGAGGCAATTTGGATTTTTTAAAAACGATTCACGCACTGATCACAAATTCGACTGTTTTATTCGGTGATTAGATGAAAATGATCGATAAAAAAATTAATTGTTTTGTTCAAAAGCGCTGGGTGATGTACTTATGCGTTGTTTAAGTCAAGTCAAGTATTTGCTTTATGCACCCCGAAAGGTGGATATTCAGCAGTCACACATAGTCATCATTATAGCATAATTATCGTGAGCAGTGAAAATGAATACAATTTAAGAGATAACTGAGTAGGGGTCCGAAGCAATGCTTTCTGCGCTGACAAGAAATCGAGCAAGATAGGGCACCACAGAAGACCGATAAGCGGTCGTACGGGCAAATGTACTCTTATAACGGAACTGGATGAAAGAGGAGGAAACACACTTGATAAGATCTTGATGTAATGGATGTGAAGGGTTATCCAAGATTTTTGTTGATAACGAAAAACATGACTTTGTATGTTGGGACATGATGAAGTGACAGATAGTTTCACGGGAAATCCCATTGCTTCTAGATAGATGTGTTAATGATCTGGAAAGCAGTTTAAAGTCTTTTTTGAGCATCCCTGGAAAGATTACTGGGGACCCATACAACCATAGGGGTGAAATACAGGCAAATAGAAAACGTTTAATCAAGAAGCGAGGGACGGATAATGTTTTCAGTCGTAAGACATAANAGTTTTCTGACCTTTACAAATACAGAGACAACTTGGTCAGACCAACATACGTTTCGGTTTATTAACACACCAAAATACTTGACGTTCGGGGGTTGGACAATAGTGTCATTGCCCATTTTCAAAGGGGGACAAGATTCCAAGAGAGTATAGCATAACGGT